CGATTAGTGAATGAAATGTACTGTGAAAACATGACTCATCATCAAACACTGACAGTACAATATCCCAGATAAAGCACCCAACTCCCCTAGGAACAATACCAAACCTATCTCCCTAGCCCAGGAGACCGGGCGAATAAACAGTAGGTCAGTCGAAACTAAGAACAAACAAGGGGAGGGAGAAACTGGGAGGGAAATATTTGCCTCCTGTCATTAATAAAATTAAGATTATAGTTACACTAAAGCTAGTATATTCTACAATTTTATAGCATGACAGGAGGCTTCATATTTGCTGTTTTAACGCTCCGACAGCAAAGCAAAAGAAGCATGATCCGGTGATCTAAAATAGAATCGGCGAAAGGTATCGTCTCGGGGCCGGTCAGCTGAATGCATAATGTTCAGAAGTGAAGCGCCTGCCATGAAAACTCCAGAAGCCACCACCCCTCTAACCGAATGCGCTCCAAAGGTCGAATACACCCCCGCCAAACCCATCCTATCATCGAGCCAACGTAGGCGACGAGACCGGTCTGTAGGGTCTGACAGAAGAAATCAACAACTGACCGGAATGCGAAGAGTGAAGCGGGGCGGTAATCGCCACCGAACGAGCCCGAACTTTTACTACACGGAGCTAGGCGAATCATGGAAATAAGGGTAAAATCTATCCGTCGAATCCGACTTGGTATGTCTAGACACCCTAAAGATGACCCCTTCTGGGGAGAAAGAAAAAGCATAGACGTCAAAGGCCCGGGCATCAGAAACGGGTCAAAATGAGATAAGAAACAGCAAGAGGGCAAATTTAGCTGAAAGTTGACGGAGAGAAAAGGTCCTGATTATCAGGCCAATCTTGGGGGATCCACACAACCACGAGTATCTAGGCAGCAGTGGTCGTGCTAGCCTCATACCATGAAGAAAATCTGCAAACTAACAGATCCTGGCCAATGGGTACACCTCCAAGCAGCACCAGTGCCGCCGAAACAGCCGATCTCGCCACCTAACCGAACAATAGATCGTCCCAGGCCAAACAGGTGAGATAGAAAATTCAGCACGCCGGTTACAGGGCCTGTAAAGGGGTCGGTATCCCGTTCTAGACACCAACAACACCAGGAGCCCCATGCTGATAGGTAACATCTCCGAGTCCTGGAGTCCAGGAAACCCAGAGGAGGTCTTTAGCCGACTGCGACAGCGCCTCGTCATTCCAGATTCCCCTGAAAGAGTCCGGTCCACCAAGCGCAAGTGGCTGTCCCTCACTAGGGGGTGCGGATTGCCCCGTGAGTCCGAGAGGAGCATCGGGGGTACGGCATGAGAAGAGGATCCCGGTGAGAGAGGTCCAGGAGCTCAACAAAACCAAGACACACGCTTGCGTCGAACTTGCAGCAAAACCCTGGGAAACATAGCAAACTGAGGAAACACATAAGCTCCCTGTGAAGGCCACGCTAGAAGAAACACGTCCACCGCCGCTCATGCCGGATCCTGGAGCCAGCTGAAGTAAGTCTGTACTGGAAAGTTAGTCCTGGAGATGAACAGGTCCACCGTGAACGGGCCCCTGTGGTCCGTGAGCGCGAGGAAGATGGTCCGAATAAGTTTCCAATCACTGGCGTCCCTCCAATGTCTGGAGGACCTATCCCCTGTCAGGTTCGATTCTCCCGGTAGATATCATGCTTGGAGAGTGATGATGCATTGAAAAGCAGAATCTGTAGATCTCCTTCGTCACCTCAGAGTGTCCGTGAACGAGCGCCCCCCGAGCGGTAGATGTATAGTACTGCCGAGAACATCGTCCATCCGGAGGAGGACACAGCATTCCGACAGGTGATTAGCCAGATTCCGAATGGCAAACGACCTGCAATTAGTTCCAGTCAGTTGATGTGGAACTCTGATTCCCACTCTGAGTAGGAAGGCCTGGGCTGGTATGAGGGAAAGAAGGACGGCCCACGAGATCTTTGGCGGCCCGAAGACCAGTTGCGGCTGGAGACGCGACCCCGCTGTCGTCCAGCCCCTCCAAAAACTTGCGAAGTCTGCGTCCGAAATACCCTCTTTATGGAGGTCTGGGCCTTGTCCAGGGAGGTGAACAAGTTAACATGTTTATGTAGCTCGTTGATGAACGGCTCCCCAAATAGCAGGCCCTTAGCCAGGGGACCGAATTCTTTTGATCCCAGCTCCGACAGCTTGTTGTCCATCCAAAGAAGAACCGCCTTTCTGCGTTCCATGGAGAGGGCCACATTAGAGGTGCCTATAAGGCAAATAGAACGTAGAGCCCAGTCTTGCATGGTGGCCGGTTCGAGGGCTGTACCCTCCGAGTAGGCCTCGTCCGCCAGCATCAACATCCTGCATAGAGGGCCCAGCATATCCAGCAGCTTATCATGTGCCAAGCGGAGGCTGCGCTCCACCCCTTTCTTGGGGTCCCGACGGATCATGTATGTGGCTACCAGGGGGTCAAATTCCGGTATCGTGGCCACCTTTTCCGGCAGCACAGGCCTGGGGCATTACGCCCGAAATTTCCTGCGAACCTCCCATTTAAGAGGTCTGCGGAGAGAGTAGTGCACGAATTGTACACATAAATAGTATATTTAACTCCATGCATTAGTACCCATAAATAGTATCTAACTGCATGCATCAGTACCCATAAACAGTATCTAACTCCATGCCTAAATACATTAGACCTGTGCCTTTAAATACTAGCGGCACCAGTTTGAAAAACCTGGCACTAAGCCAGAACCCTCCCACGTGGCCAGCTAATCGCCCTGCTCCCTACCCACACCACTCGAGAGAGCAAGTACAGCGTGAGTGGAGGCGTGGGTCAGGACAGGGATACAATAGACGGCATCCGCTCGGCGGACTGAGCCAGCAGGCGGGGGCCAACACGTCTTACTCCCCAGTCCCAACGGTCGGCAACGGGAGGTGGTCGGAGGACCGCTTCTCGGCGACCATCCACAGAAGAGCGAGGGGGAAGTAAGGGGAAAGGGCCCTCCCAAAGGGCAGAGGGAGAGAGAGGAAGGAAGAGGGAGCCAGAGACCCCCCCAGTCCCCAAAGCCCACGGAAAACACCACTAGGTAAGCAACCCAAGCAGGGGGCAGCCTAAAGACAGACACTAGAGAGTGAATAATAAATGTTAAAGGGACTTTCCAGTGCCAGGAAAACAATCAATTTTCCTGGCACTGCAGGCCCCCTCTCCCTCCCACCACCCATCCCAGTTGCATCGTAAATGGTAGTGGGAGTTGGCACCCACACCACTCCAATAGGCAGAAGTGGTCTAGGTGCCTGGAGTGTCCCTTTAAATCAATACAGTTAGAAAACATTACAGAACATCACACACTCACACACAGACAGTCACACACTCACACACAGACAGTCACACACTCACAGGCAGTCACACAGAGTCACACACTCACAGGCAGTCACACAGACAGTCACACACTCACACAGGCAGTCACACACTCACACAGAGACAGTCACACACTCACAGGCAGTCACACAGACAGTCACACACTCACAGGCAGTCACACAAACAGTCACACACTCACACAGGCAGTCACACACTCACACAGAAACAGTCACACACTCACAGGCAGTCACACACTCACAGGCAGTCACACAGACAGTCACACAGTCACAGGCAGTCACACAGACAGTCACACACTCACACTCACACACTGACCTGCTTCTTACCTCCTGCTTGGAGCTCCTGGAGGCTTGTTGTTGGGGAAGCAGGGACTCCTTCCTGCTTCCCATGCTGCAGTCAGCCAGGCCCCCGCCGCACAGTAAGCCCGCCCCCGCCGCACAGTAAGCGAGCCCCGCCGCACGTAAGCTCCACCAAAAAAATGTTTTTTTATGATCCCGGCCGGCCATGTGTGAGCTGTGCCGGCCGCCTGGCTCCCACTGATCCCATGGGGCTCTGTGCGGCCACACAGCTCACACATAGCCGGCCGGGATCACAGGAGCTGTCAGCCCAATGATTAGGGCTGTCAGACCGGCCCCAGGTACCGCGGCCCACCGGGAAATTTTCCGGTATCCCGGTGGGCCAGTCCGGCCCTGATTGCAGCTAAGAGGAATGGGCCTTGACATTGCTAGGAGGATGCTGTGTTGTTGCAGGACGGGTTTATTAGGAGGTTTGTGATCCCATTGGAAGCCCGGTAAATACTGGCTTAGTCATCATTTAGTGTATCCCCATGGATCTTTGATGAATCATTATATTGAGGCTCTCTGCTCTGTGTCATATGCATCATTCGACCAAGCAGTCGAGTTGGTTTGGCGCTCGGCAAGGGGGCGTTGATGGTCAAGGAGGACGTGGAAGCTGCTTTTCGATTATTGCCCATTCACCCCGACTGTCAGCATTTGCTGGGCTGTTTTTTCGGGGGGCAGTATTGCATCAATCTTTGTTTGCCAATGGGTCGTTGGCACAGTCCAATTGGGCGGCCTACGTCAAGGTGAGGCGCGAACGGGACGCTGAAATGGTGTGAGAGGTGAGGACTCAGCTGTGGCTCGATTCGACACCTTGTCATGGTTAATTTGTAGGTGATTTGCTTTAGTGTCATCTCAGTCTGCTGTAGGGCAGTGGCGTTCTTATTTAAGCTTAATGGGTGGGACGACCTCACCATTAGTTCGTCATTGTCCAAATTCCAGTTCTTTAAGGGTTTTTGGTTGGCCAGGGGGTGTTTGGGCTTGGGTCCGTTACAGTTTGGCACCCATTCATTCAGGATTGGTTCTGCAACCTAACCATCTCAGTTGGGATTGGGGGATGAAGTCAAAAAGATTGGGAGGTGGGAATCGGTGAGATTCAGGTCATATGTGACACCCAACCATTTATTTTAAGTTTGGTTGAAATGTTTATATTTGTTCTGTGATTGGTAACGTGTTTTACTTCCGCAGGTTGAATTGCGTGGGTGCTGGGACACTTTTATGCATACTGGGAACAACGGAGAGCTGCAGTTCATCGTCATGGCATACAGCTGGGCTTTCCGCACTCAGTGGTGCAGATTGAGTGGTTTGATTTTAGGGGTTTCAGTTGGCAATGGATTTGCTTAAAGCTATTTGAGAGGATTAGTGAGGGTAAAGTGCATTGGTCTGTTTCATGCCGGGGGAAATGACTTAGGTCTGGTGTCACAGAGGGCTTTGCTCACGGGGATGAAGAAGGATTTGGATAGGTTGAGGCAGTTGGTCGCTGACGTGGTTGTCATATGGTCGGAGATGGTACCGCGGTTGCAATGGCGTCACTCTAGGGACCACTGAGCAGTGGTGAAAAGTAAGGGGAAGGTGAATAAAAGTTGGCAGGATTTAACAGGCAAGATGGGGTGCATCTGTCAGAGGTGGGGACGGATTTTTTGTTATTAGGGTTTCAGGAAGGCTTAAACAGAGCATTGTTTTTGGTGGGGGCGCTCAGGTAGCCCAAGGTGTCGAGCTCTGAGCTATGGCGGGGATGGATAGAGAAGTTGTTTTGCCTGATGTAAAATAGTTTGGTTCACTAAGAACAGTTAGGTTTGGAAGAGTATTTGTAAGTTTGAGCTCGTCGGTAGCTCCTAACCTGGTGGGTGTAGGGTGTATCTTGGTATGCCCCTACATGGAAGAAAGCTGGAAATCATGCCCTCGGTGGCAATGGTTATGTCATGCCCTCGGTGGCAACAGTTATTTTTATATGTTAATTATATGTTATAATGTGGTTTTACTTATTGTGTTGTGGGTCATTGTCTGGGGTAGTATTCAATGGCGTCGCTGGGGGGGGGCAGGTGAGAGAGACTACAGATCAGTGAAGTGAGGCATATGGGGGCAGAGATAGCCTACAGATCAGTGAAGTGAGGTATATGGGGGGGGGAGACAGCCTACAGATCAGGGAAGTAGAGGCATATGGGGGCAGATAGCCTACAGATCAGGCAAGGGAGGCATATGGGGCAGAGGCCTACAGATCAGGGAAGTGAGGCATATGGGGGGCAGAGAGATAGCCTATAGATCAGTGAAGTGAGGCATATGGGGGGGCAGAGATAGCCTAGATCCGCATATGGGAGGGCAGAAATCAGATCAGGAAGTGAGGCATATGGAGGCAGGATAACCACAGATCAGTGAAGTGGGAGGCATATGGGGGGGCAGAGATAGCCTACAGATCAGTGAAGTGAGGCATATGGGGGCAGAGATAGCCTACAGATCAGTGAAGTGAGGCATATGGGGGCAGGAGATAGCCTACAGATCAGGGAAGTGAGGCATATGGGGGGCAGAGATAGCCTACAGATCAGGAAGTGAGAGGCAAATGGGGGCAGAGATAGCCTACAGATCAGGTAAGTGAGGCATATGGGGGGTCAGAGATAGCCTACAGATCAGGGAAGTGAGGCAAATGGGGGGCAGAGATAGCATATAGATCAGTGAAATGAGGCATATGGAGGGGGAGGGCAGAGATAGCCTAGAGATGAGGGAAGTGAGGCATTCCACTAATTTTGGTGTATGTACTATTAGCTGTTTCTGCAATAAAGCACACACATTTGTTTCAGCAATGTCTTACAAGTAAAACAGTACCCCCCATGAACAGGTTTTATGGTGTTTTGGAAAGTTACAGGGTCAAATATAGCATGTTACATTTTTCAGTATATACACATTGAAATTTGCAAGATTGGTTATGTTGCGTTTGAGACCATATGGTAGCCCAGGAATGAAAATTACTCCCATGATGGCGTACCATTTGCAAAAGTAGACAACCCAAGGTATTACAAATGTGGTATGTCCAGACTTTTTTAGTAGCCACATAGTCACAAACATTGGCCAAAGTTAGCTTTCATATTTGTTTGTGTGTGAAAAATTCAAAAAACTAAATTGAACGTTAATTTTGGCCAGCATCATGGGGGTAATTCTCATTCCTGGGCTACCATACGGTCTCAAATGCAACATAACTAATCTGGCAAATTTCAATGTGAAGAAACGGAAATGCAAGCCTTATGTTTGACTCTGTAACTTTTGAGAACACCATAAAACCTGTACATGGGGGGTACTGTTATACTCGGCAGGCTTCGCTGAATACAAATATCAGTGTTTCAAAACAGTAAAATGTATCACAACAACTATATCGTCAGTGAAATTGCCGTTTGTGTGTGAAAAACGCCCAAAACTGCACTTTCACTGACGATATCATCGTTATGATATGTTTTACTGTTTTAAAACACTAATATTTGTGTTCAGCGAAGTTTCCCAAGTAAATTAGTACCCCTCATGTACAGGTTTTATAGTTTCTTAGAAAGTTACAGGGTTACATATAGGGCTTGCAAATCAAACTCTGGACTTTCTGCCTTGGTTGTCAGGCAAGTGCCTTAAATTGTAATTAATTACATGACTTAATCATGTAAAAATGTTTATATATATATATATATATATATATATATATATATATATATATATTTGTGTTCGGGGCATTCTCATATAATATAGAATAAGATGGGTTGTAGAGATGTAGCTTTAGGAATAATCGGTTGAGGTGTGCCAAAACCGACGTGTGCTGTAGGCCGGTAAAAAGTGGGCAAAAAGAGACATATTAATGCTCTACGTACTACCAGAGGTGCTAGAGCTTGGAGCCTGAAACGTGATCGTCCGCTGTGTTGGGACAAAATTGTCCTGTGGGACTAGCAACATCTCCAAGTGAAAGTGTGTTGACTTTAGCTGGAGTGTAAGGTAGAGAGAAATCCTTACCACCTGCTTGATATATACTAAAAAACATGAAGATAGCCATTATTATATGAACCCACAGTGTGCTAGTACTGGCTTGCTAGCTAAAGCCGCATGGCGAAACAATTAATCCTTTGTTTGGTGTTAGGTGAGGCCCTGCTAGTTGCCAAGTGGCTTGAGAGGCTCTATCTATGCAATGGCGCGAGGGGATTTTTGTGGCCACCAAAATGTATGTATATACCCCATGAGCAGGTGTATGTACCTGGTAGTATGATTAGATACCCTTACTGGTCGTAAGGGTTATTAATATCTGTATCCCGGGTAAAACAATGTATGAAAATTGAATATAGACATTTAAAAGCGTATACCCATATGTGTGTTATGCAAGTTTAATAGAGTAAAGTGCTCCGTCCCAATGTTTATTGTATGCTTGTAATGCCCCTGTTTGAAGGAAATTAACTCGTCGGGAGTGTTATAACATGTGTGATATGGAATACAACTGTACCCCGAAACATGAGTGTAGTGAACCATGACTGGCAGCTGAATAACCTAATATGTGAAAATACATAATTGGAAGGACTTATATTTTAAGCGTGCAAACATGCAAATATTCCATATTAGACTCTGGAATCCTGCATAGTGCTTTAAATAGTATGTGCATTCTTGGGTAAATGTATGCGTATTGTCAGTAAATGTAACTAAATGCCTATGTAGGCAGGTATGCAGGAATGATTATATCATAGCAAGCATGATTTGTAAGGAAGTGTTATTGTGTAATTATAATTATAATGGGAATGTTATGAGGGGAATAACCATATGTCTGAAAAGCCTGTAGTATACCGTTTGACAGATAGGAGTCAGTATAAAAGCAAAAATGCTGTAGTTAGTTTGTTTGCTTTTGAAGTGAAATAAAGTCTGAGAAGCCTGTAGTATACCGATTGACCGGTAAGGGTCAGCATGTAGGCGAAAATGCAGTGGTTTGTTGGTTTGTACATGAAATGCAAAAACGTCTAAGAAGCCTGTAGTACACTGAATGACCGATAGGGGTCAGTGTGTAGGCACAAATGCAGTGGTTCGTTGGTTTGTACATGAAATGCTATAATATCTGAGAAGCCTGTAGTACACTGAATGACCGGTAGGGGTCAGTGTGTAGGTGAAAATGCAGTGGTTCATTGGTTTGTACATGAAATGCAATAATATCTGAGAAGCCTGTAGTACACCCAGGGCCAGCGCTACATATTAGGCGGACTAGGCAGCCGCCTAGGGCGCCCCTTGGGAAGGGGCGCCGCCAGGAGCACTGGCCCCCCCATGCTGCAGCCGCCCCGAGCGCTCTGTAGAGAGCCTCAGGCGGCTGCAGCTTTGCCCGGGCGGTGCGTCCATGAGGGCGGACCGCATGGCCCGGGCGCAGCCTGAGAAGAGGGGCTGACAGGAGGGAAGCGCTCAGCGCTCCCTCCTGTCACTCCCTCACTGTAGCGTGGCCGAGCCCTGCAGCATGATGGTCCGCGGGTACAGGGAGCATCTGTCTCCTGTACCCGGCCGGACTAACAGGAAGTGCACCCCGGCCGGGTACAGGAAACAAAAGCTACCTGTACCCGCGGACCATCATGATACAGGGCTCGGCCACGCTACAACAAAGGTGGGGGGGAGGAGAAAGAAATTGGGAGGGTGGGAGAAGAAATTGGGAGGGGAGGAGGAGAAGAAATTGGTAGGGGAGAGGGGGGAGAAGAAATGGGGAGGGTGGGAGAAAGAAGAAATTGGTGGGAGAAGAAGGAGGGGGGAGAAGAAGAAATTGACAGGGGGAGAAGAAGAAATTGGGGGGGGGAGAGAAGCAGAAGAAGAAAACTGACCTGACGGGGGTGAGAGTGACAGGGGAGGGAGGGGCAATGAGAGTGGGAAGGGGAGGGGAGAAGAGAGTGACAAGGGAGGGAGAGGGGGGAGAAGAGAGTGACAAGGGAGGGGGGAGAGATTGACATCCATCACACACTCATGCAATGCACCCCTTGCACACAGAAAAACACACAATGCATTACACACACAGACACACACACACACACACACACACACACAAACAATGCAACCCTTACACACAATGCATCCCTTACACACACAGAAACACAAAATGCATTCCTTACACACACTCAATGCACTCCTTACACACGCACACACTGCATCCTGTACATACACAGAAACACACCTTGCAGCCCTTACACATACAAACACAGATTCACATAGTGCATTCCTTACACACATATCAGGACATCCCCTACACACTCCAGCCCCTGTGAACAAACTCATTGGTGGAACATGAAGGTGGACCCTGGGATCTAGACCTTGAGCTGTGTAAAGGGCCCCCCAAAAATGGAGCTGCTTCCCGTTCTCCCAGAACATTGATTTTTGTGACCACAGTTACAAACAGCCTCCAGAGAGCCTGTTCTACACCAGACCAGTGGAGCCAGACTGCAGCTAGAGCCCATCATCATCCTCATCTCGTTGTAAGTTGGCAATCTAGTATATTATTCGTGGCACTAAGCTCTAATTTACCTAACATTAAAGAAACACTATAGTCCCCAGAACCACTGCAGCTTAATGTAGTTGTTCTGGTGTCTATAGCCTGTCCCTGCATGCCTTATAATGTAAACACGGCGGCACTGCAGCACTGGCGTTAGTTAACATGGCAGATCATATGGGTGGAACATTGTGATGTCACATGGGGGGGGCGGCAAACTTTACTTTTGCCTAGGGCGGCAAAAATCCTTGCACCGGCCCTGAGTACACCGAATGACCGATAGGGGTCAGTGTGTAGGCGAAAAATTGTATTTCGTTTGTAGTTTTAACCGATTTAACAGATTTTAACCAAAACTGATTTTAACCAACAGATTTTACATGAACAGCTAGGTGAGTATAAGGTAACGAAATAACCGTGCAAAACGAAAGGAAACCGTAAAGTGAGGAGCCTTGCTGTGCTGAACGCCATGGGAACTAATCCTGGCGTGACAGGTGGGTCAATTTACGGTTTGAGAGTCCATGAGTCACCAAATGCGATGCTGACCGGAGAGAAAGCCACTGGATTAACGGAAAACCCTGATGCAGGATTCCTGGACACAGCTTGGAGTAGGAGACCTCATGGAGCAAAGGTGAAACCAAAATGGTGTCTTGTATGACCTGGAAGTGGATCTCATGCAAATGCCGACCTTGAACAGTCTATTCGTCTGACCAACAAAGGTAAGTAGGGAAAGAGGGGAGTCCCTTTTATAGGTCTATAGGTCTATACACACATACATACATACATACATACATACATACAGTGGGACCTCGGTTTACAAATTTAGTAAGCTCTCCGGGACGTTACTTAATGCGAAAAATGTGTAAACTGAAAGCGCTTTCCCTTAGGAATGCATTGAAAACCAATTAATCCGTTCTGGAGGTCAGAAAAAAAGTCAAAATGAGCTGGCATGGAAACCAACACACAATGCAGAACACACAATAAAAGGCATGCAAATGACGAAGCTCAGCTCCCTACCTTTCCACAGCTTGAGAAATGCACCAAAAAGTCCCAAAAACAACTGCAAACAATTTCCAGAATGGCTCTAAAACTCAATGCAAAAGCCGCTCCAACATCTCCACACTCAACCTCGGTTTACAAATTTAGTAAGCTCTCCGGGACGTTACTTAATGCAAAAAATGTGTAAACCGAAAGCGCTTTCCCTTAGGAATGCATTGAAAACCAATTAATCCGTTCTGGAGGTCAGAAAAAAGTCAAAATGAGCTGGCATGAAAACCAACACACAATGCAGAACACACAATAAAAGGCATGCAAATGACGAAGCTCAGCTCCCTACCTTTCCACAGCTTGAGAAATGCACCAAAAAGTCCCAAAAACAACTGCAAACAATTTCCAGAATGGCTCCAAAACTCAATGCAAAAGCCGCTCCAACATCTCCACACTCAACGCCATGTGCTACCTACAGGCTCCAGCATGCAGGGGGCGGTGCTATAAACCTCCATCCTGGGGAATCTTGCTTTGTATTGCGAAACAAATTTGTAAACCAAGGCATTATTTTCAATGGATTTTCATTTGTAAACCGAAAATTATGTTAACCGAGGCGTTTGTAAACAGAGGTTCCACTGTATATATATATATATATATATATATATATATATATATTTTTTTTTTTTTCATTTTTATTTATGTATAGCTATATGTATATAGATAGATACATATATGCATTTATAAAATCATTCTAAATTAATTTAGATTTATATATGTATATTAATATCAAAAAACAGTTAGAAAAAATTAAACAGGTATAAAAAAAATTTGCATTTTAAAAACAAAATGTTTAATTTAATTTGTTTTCTTTATTTTGTAAATTTTTTTTAAATTCTTTATTTTTGTGTGCATAAAGATTACAAACACGCTGGTAATGCCACAATAGCAGGTACCGGCAACTTGTTGTTAACAGAGATATGGCACAGGTTAAAACTGCACAATTTTTTTTTAATAATCAAGCTTGGTTTTGGTAAAACGTTACCGAAAAGAGAGTCCAAACATGTATGGAGTGCCCCTCCAGCCATCTCCGAGCCCTTCACTCCTTGTTTTGTACCTCCTTGTTTCAAAAAGGGTTTCGTGAGGGATTCCCTTTTAGGGTTCCTGCTCAATTGAGTTAGCGCAGACTCTTCCTCTCTTCTACTCGTACTATTTGTATAATTCCCTTTAGAGTCAGCAGCTCTCTCATTATACCATCATGTCTATATTTGATTATAGGAACAACTATATCATTGATGTTGAAAATGTATTTGATACGGAGGCTATTAGCCCAATCCAGATAAATTACCCTAGTTCTAACCAAGAAGAGTTGTTTATTAAATTAGAAAGATCTCTTACTTCAGAAATAAAACTGAAATGGGAAATAGCCACCCTAAAAAAATATATCGATGAAAGAATCACTCCCCGAGGCTTAAGACCATGGGCGTCCGCAGGGGGGGGGAGGGGGGGCACTTGCCCCCCTGGATTTTTCATCTTGTTCTGCTATTTTGTGTGATTTAAAATGAACTGCAATACCGGCGCCGGCCAGTAGGTGGCGCTGTGTATGGAGAGAGACAGGGATAGGAAGCTGCATCTTATCCCTGCTTCTCTCTGCTGATTGAAACCGCAGGGGAGCAACACATGCAGCCAGAGACAGCCTACAGACCAGGTAAGTGAGGGATGGGGGGAGGGTTTGAGAGGGGGGCAGCAGCCTATAGATTTGGGGGGAGCAGCCTTTAGATTTAGGGGCAGCAGCCCATAGATTGGG